AAGCTGTGGAAAGTCCTCATGGACGAATGAAGGTGTTTGATGTAATGACACATTAGAGCAGCAGGATGCTGCTGTCAAAGTGAAGAAGTTTGTCACAGATTAGAGAAATGAAAAAGTGAAAAATTCCATGTATCGTGTAGTTTAACCTTATTCAAATGCACAACTTGTCTCCTAGTGGGAGACAAGTGTTCTTAAAGTTGTATGGGGTTCTGATAATGTTCAAGTACTTTCAATAGTGATCTAGGTGAGGAAGAGGATGGGTAGAAAGACATGAAAGTAAGAGGGGGAGAATGGGAAGAGAGGTTGGGGAAGCCAAAGTTTGAGAATGGGGGTAAGGCAGAGATGTGTTGTTTTGGCAATGGCTGTTTTTCTAATGTAATTACGGAGAATAAGTAGAGCAGACATTATGACAGCAAGGTGTTCCTGTTAAGGTTTCTTAAATTGCTGTTCATTATTGGACATATAACTTGGAGTGACTTAGAATCACAGAATAGTTTGGGTTGGAAGGGGCCTTTAAAGATCCTCTAGTCCAGCCCTCCTGCAGTAAGCAGGGACATCTTCCACTAGATCAGGTTGCTCAGAGCCCCATCCAACCTGATCATGAATGCTTCCAGGAATGGGGCATCTACCACCTCTGTGGGCAAACCTGTGCCGGTGTTTCACCACTGTCACTGTACAAAATTTCTTCTTTGTATCTAGTCTAAATCTGCCCTTATTTTAATTACATTTCATTCCTCCACTTTTGGAATTAGAAACCCAAAGGAGGAGGAATGACAGCCCTTTCAGCAAGAGAAAGTTTAATAGAGACAAGCAGACAGATGTTTGAGATGCTTGTGTTGAAAGGTAACAACTAAGTGTTGTGCTTGCTTTTGCACTGGAACAACTGAAAGCTCTTCTTGCCAGCTCTGTGGCAACTAGTCATTCTGGGCGCAGAACTGCAGGTCACTTACCTAAAGTTTGGCATATCTTTTAAAAAAGCATTATTACATGCTAGAATAACTTGTTCCCTAAATCTACAGATCGGAGAGCTTAATAATTTTCTCTCTACTTCAAAGGTTTGAAGAGGAATGGAGATAGGAATAAAACCTCCAAACCCCACCAAAACAAAACAAAACAAAGTCTTGTCTTGAAGAGTAGAGGTGAAGTTTGTTGGCACTAGTATTCTACAGCAGAAGGACATAATACTTTCCTTCAGGGACTAAACAATTTAAAATAGGTTCTGACACTGTATTTGAAAATGACACTTACTTTGTTTTCAAAACAAAACCACAAACTGTTTTTATGGAAAAGGCTTTCTCCTTGTTATTTCCTAATACCAAATATTTGTTACTTAAAGTTTAAGAGAAATGTATTTGTAGAACTTGTTACAGTGACTTCAAGCACATTTTTCCATCAAATAAATAAAGAAATTGATAGAAAGATTATTAAATGCCATATGGATACACGAAGAAGGGGAATTCGAATGCCAGCTGTCAATAGATGGAATTTCAAATCTATGTTAACAGAATAATAAAGTTTGCATTTGTGGTTTAGTTAGGTTTTATATATAAAACAGCAGGTTTAACTCATACTGGAAAAATACTACTTTTTGGGTTACAAAAATGACCTTGATGCTGCCTTAATGCAGGTTTGAGCATTATGACTCAATTAACCTTGTTATTCCATTATACATCTCAACTTGATGCAATATTTATATATGATTGGAAAAGCCCAGAAGACGTGTTGGATTGTATTTCTGACTGATAGGAACTGTCACTTTCAAAGCTGTTCTTCACAAAACAGGCACTATCAAAATGTACCAGTGAGATTCAGAAGTTAAGTTCCAAAACGCCAAGTAACTTGAGAGTGTAATTGATACCATCTACCTCAGTATCATGCTGCTTTGGCCTTTCACTCACAACTAGATATAAGCAAAATCAGTATCTGATACTTCTTTTTGGGGGAAGAAATAAATGCAAATCAAATCAACAGTAGGAAGTGTTAGACCAACGTATAGCTCTCAGTGTATTAGACC